GGGCTAGGCCCCAGAATCCACATGGGCCTGATGTCCAGAGCAGCCACCGTACCCCTGGGAAAAGCAGGCCCCGTACCTAGCCGGCCCCAACGTGCTGCTCCTGGGGCTGACCATGGAGCTGTGTTGTCCCGCTGCGTTGGGCACCCTGGCACTGTGACACTGACCTGCTCTCCAGGGCTCTGTGTGTCTCCTCGTGGGCATCTGCAAGGCCCTTTGAGATGTTCAAACCCAAGGGCGCGGCCAACATACAAGTCACCAGCCCCCATCCTGTTGCCCTTCGTTGTAGTCCGTAGAATGCCTTGGTTTCCATGGGAGCATGATGGCAGCCCTGGGTATTAAGCAGATAAGCCCCTTGGTGGGAGGAAAGACCCCAAGGGTTTTGTTCCTCTCATTCCCCTTCTTCTCCCAGTGTCTCTGCAACAGGCAAGCCGGGCCCTGCCCCATTGCGGCTGGTGCCAGCCAGCTGCTTGCCTGGTACCCCCCAGACTAGCCTCAGGCAGCACCAAAACCATCCTGCCTTCAAGAGGCCACGTGCGACCTTCAGGTAACTTTGTCCTACTGCCCCCGACGGCCTTACTGCTGCTGGGTAACTGCCACAGCTGTCATGAATCCCCTGCGCTCACCAGCAGAGAGCCTCCATGTGGCCTCCGACCCCACGTGGACGGAAGGTGACCCCCAAATGTCCCTGCCTGCCCCACAGTGAGCCTGGTGAGCAGCTCAAAAACTTCAAGGTCCCCCAAGGCAGTTCCTGCGATGACCAGATAATCCCGCTGAATCCCCGGATTGCTGTTCATCCCCCTCTCCGCTCGGATAATCCACGGAACACCGGCTAAGCCCCACCAGCGATAACCTGGCAGCGCCCTCTCCCAACGATCTTCAGTGACTTCTTCACCCCCTGCTAATCCCAGATAACCCTCCTCAGACCTACTGGGGATGAACAACAAACATCCAGGGTCCCATCGTCAGCTGGCTCCTGGGCCCTGCGCAACCTTGGCTCAATCTCATTAACGCCAGCCAATGAGGGCTGATCCCTATGGAACTTTGACGTTGATGTCATTTGGCAACTGCTGTCATGATCTCAAACAGGGCAGTCGATGTCTCGGGCTACCTGCATGGGCTGGTTGCTGGGATGGCATCCCTGACCACCTTGGTTGATAGGCACTGATGGGCTCATCCTCCATTTTATTCTTCTTTGTACCCAGTAATACTTTTGGCCTTCACAGCTTCCTATGGCAGTGAGTTCCGCAGGTTGACTGTGTTGTGTGAAGTACTCCCTTGTGTTTCTTTTAAAAGTACTTCCTATTGATTTCATCATGTGATCCCCAGTTCTTGTGTCATGGGAAGGGGTAAGTAACATTTCTCTATTCACTTGTTCCACACCAGTCATGGTTTTATAGACCTCTGTCATATCCCCTCTTAGTCGTCTTTTTTTCTAGACTGAGCTGTCCCGGTCTTTTTAATTTCTCCTTATAAGGAAACGGTTCCATGCCCTTAATCATTTTTGTTGACCAGTTCTATATTATTTCCCATTCTAATATATCTTTGTTCAGATCAGGCAACCAGACCTACCCAAAGGAAACGAGGCGTGGTTGCACCGTGGATTTACATCATGGCATTATGATGTTTTCTGTCTTCTTATCTACCCTTTGCCCTGGGGTGTCTAACATTCTGTCAGATTTTTTTACTACCACTGCACATTGAACGAATGTTTTCAAAGAGCTATCCTCAATGACTCCAAGCTGTCTTTCCTGAGCGGTTACCGCTAATTTAGACCTCGTCATTTTGCAGGCACACTTGGAATTCTGTTTTCCAATGTGCATTCCTTTGCATTGATCAGCACTGGATTCCATCTGCCATTCCGCCACCCCGTTCTGTGAGATCCCTATGTGGCTTTTCACACACAGCTTTGAACTTGAGTCGTTTTGTGTCGTTTGCCATTTTTGTCACCTTGCTCTTCATTTCCTTTTTCCAGACCATTTATGAATGTGTTGAACGGCACCGGTCCCAGAACGGGCCCCTGGGGGACCCCACTAGTTACCTCTCTCCCCTGGGAAAAACAACCACTTATTCCAACCCTTTGTCTCTTACCTTTCAATACGAGGACCTGCCCTCTTACCACCTGCCTGTTGTTTCTTGGAAGCCCCAAGTGAGACTGAAGCCTCATTGTGCAAGGTGCTGTGTATGCATAATGGGAGAGAGAGATCCAGCCCCAGAAAGGCTGCCATCTACATAGATTAGACCGTACTATGGGAAACTGAGGGACTGAACAATTAAGTGACTCACAGAAAGTCATACAGGGAATCTATGGTAGAGCCAAGTATTGGTCCTCCATTCTTCTGACTCCCAAACCAGATGACCGGCTTTCCTCCAGCTCATGCGTGTGGACACACCCAGGCACTGGCAGGCAGGAGAGAGAACCATGCAGCAGTAATGTCCCTGTGCTGAGTTCAGACTGGGAGGGATTTTAAGGGGACAATAACATGTGTCTATCGAGCGCTGTTCCTCCTGAAGGATCCTGGCGCACTTACAAACCGTGCACTGGTGCACAGGCCCAGCGTTGAAATGCAGCCAGGCAGAGCGTGCTGCAAAATAGCAAGCAGGGGCGCTTTGTGGCCAGACAAATCCGCACAAAGGGGCAGAGATTGGCCTCCTTATCTCTGCCCAAGGGCTTTTCCGCTTCCCAGCCCAGAACAGCTCTGCACCAGCCCTCCGCCGTGTCAGCCGGGGAAGAAGATTAGTCTGTTCTCTGGCACCTTCTGTGGGCATTGGAGCCAATCGCAAGGGCATGTGGTGTGAGTGGAGCAGGGCTGCCTGCTCTGTGTGTTACCAGCTGTACCAAGCACATGGGCCTGAAGCATCCAGGAACAGAGCAGAGATGGGAGGTGGGCTGGGCCCAGCCAGCCATTCCTTGGGTCTCCAACTGCCAAGCCTCAGGGGCCGTGGCCTGAAATCCCCAGCCTGGCTCAGTATCTGCAGGGCAAAGACAGGAAGCCCATTTCCTAGCATGTGCACGTCCACCCCGGAGACTGCCGCGTGGCTTTGAAGCGTGGCTTGCCCCGGGGTTTGCCTGGGGCTCCCCCTTCGCTCGTCCCCGCCACTCTCTGAGTGGCAGTTTCATTCCCTCCCACTCAGCCAACAAGGAAGCAGCGTGATTGGACAGGCCACTCATTGGCCCGCGCGTGACTCTGGAGGAGTTGCCCCCCTTAACCGGTCCATGTGCAAGGAAAACTGAACTAAACAAAGGGGATGCAGCGAGGGACACCATGGGGGAGGGGGAAGAGCCAAGGTCCTGCCCAAGAGGGGGCTCACGGTGAGAAGCAACCGGATAGTACCTCCATGAGTGCAGAGCATCAGGATTCCATTGTACTGGGCACTGCATGTTAGCTATTAGGTGTATTACGGTAGTGCCTTGCAGCCCCAGTCACAGCTAGGACCCCATTGTGTTTGGTGCTGTATGTAGTTATTAGGTGTATTACGGTAGCACCTAGCAGCTCCAGTCACAGATCAGGCCCCGTTGTGCTCGGTGCTGCATGTTAGCTATTAGGTGTATTACGGTAGTGCCTTGCAGCCCCAGTCACAGCTAGGACCCCATTGTGTTTGGTGCTGTATGTAGTTATTAGGTGTATTACGGTAGCACCTAGCAGCTCCAGTCACAGATCAGGCCCCGTTGTGCTCGGTGCTGCATGTTAGCTATTAGGTGTATTACGGTAGTGCCTTGCAGCCCCAGTCACAGCTAGGACCCCATTGTGTTTGGTGCTGTATGTAGTTATTAGGTGTATTACGGTAGCACCTAGCAGCTCCAGTCACAGATCAGGCCCCGTTGTGCTCGGTGCTGCATGTTAGCTATTAGGTGTATTACGGTAGTGCCTTGCAGCCCCAGTCACAGCTAGGACCCCATTGTGTTTGGTGCTGTATGTAGTTATTAGGTGTATTACGGTAGCACCTAGCAGCTCCAGTCACAGATCAGGCCCCGTTGTGCTCGGTGCTGCATGTTAGCTATTAGGTGTATTACGGTAGTGCCTTGCAGCCCCAGTCACAGCTAGGACCCCATTGTGTTTGGTGCTGTATGTAGTTATTAGGTGTATTACGGTAGCACCTAGCAGCTCCAGTCACAGATCAGGCCCCGTTGTGCTCGGTGCTGCATGTTAGCTATTAGGTGTATTACGGTAGTGCCTTGCAGCCCCAGTCACAGCTAGGACCCCATTGTGTTTGGTGCTGTATGTAGTTATTAGGTGTATTACGGTAGCACCTAGCAGCCCGTTACAGACCAGGACAACACTGTGCTGGGAGCTGCATATTAGTTATTAGATGTATTACGGTAGCGCCCAGAGCCCCCATCATGGCCAGCACCCTCTTGTACTGGCTGATGCCTTGCCTGATCAGACAGAGCGGATGCCCCTGTAATAGGAAGGGAGGCCTCTGCTCTTCCTTGGGGCAGGGCGGGCTCCGATCCCATCTCAGGCTGAGAATGAGCAGTCACGGGAACTGCTTCCAGTTCCCTGCCAGCAGGGCGGCTCCCCTGCCTGCATGGCCTGGGGCTGCTGCCCACACAGCTCTGTGGCTCCCGAAGGGTTATCGTCCCTCTCTCACGCTCTGCTGCTCTCCAGAAATCTTGTCGCCTTTGGGGCTTGGCGGGCTGCTGCTGCTGCTGCCCCCCCGGGGGGGGGGGGCATAATTAGCAGTCACACCTTAATGACACGGAGCCTGCGTCCTGGCTCCAGGAAGCAGCAGGCTGGGTGCATGGAGCTACCCTCGGGGCATTTGTAAGACTGCAGCATTCCTCAGGTGGCCGCGTTGCAAGTGATCTGCCTTTGGCAAAGCCCCACGGGGCCAGAGGAAAGACAGCCCAGTGGTTAGGGCCTAGTATGGTTGATGGGGAAGGTGTCTCGAATCAGGCCCCCTCCCCAAGCTCCGGCTAGGCCCAGGACCAGGCGTGATCTATAGTCAGTGACAAGCAAATAGCCCCACACTGATCAACCTGCATCTTCTCCCTTGAGCAGAGTGATAGAAAACCACATGGTGGATGGGGAGGAGTACGCCCTGGAGTACCCAGTGTATGGAGAGGGCTGCCTACTGCTGTGTGACTGCCCAGCCGACTGCTACCGAGACCACTGCAGCCACAGAGAGTACAGGTGAGGGCAGGGGGCTGGCAGGGGTGAGATACACGCCTGGGTGCCCCAGAAAACACAAGTACATTACAGCACACGCAGAGTCCAGGGAAGTCACAGGGGATGCTGCCAAGCGGCCACAGGGCTGTGCTGGAGGCACTGGCACCAGCTCCGCTCCAGGGCTCTTTGGAGAAGAACACATGTAGCCTGAGGGTGCTTGCAGGTGGCCCAGAACCAAGCACTCCTCGCAGCTCTTCCTGACCGGGATCGGGGCCCGTGGGCTGCTCTCAGACATGGAGGCCACAGAGGTTCCACGTGGGAAACGCACAAGTGACCCGGCTTGGAAAAAGTGTCAGTCTGGGATGGTCTGACCCCCTGTGCGGCAAATGGGTGCCTGAGAAATGTGCCCATGCCAGCAGACAGCTGAGCGTGGTGCCCGGCCTGGGCCACGCAGCCTGGGAACAGCACGTGCCAATTGCACAGAGAAATGACCTACGCCTGCTGATGGGGGGAGGGAGGAGTGAGGGCAGCCAGCTTCCACAGTTACTGAGCATGCTCAGTCAGTGTGAGCATGCTCAGTACAAGCCAAGCAGCAAATCTGGGAGGCATGTGACCAATGTTCCATCTAGTTTTTTCCCCATCCATGTGCGGAATAAATGTTGTTCTCTGCACTGAGGCATGTGCCGATGTGCACCACCAGCAGCAACACATGCTGCCAGCTGCGGGCGCTCTGCTAAGCAACATTTGAATCCCTCCTGGTGGCCCAAGTGATCTGCTTATAGGGGACACTGCACCTGACCCCACAGGCCCTGCCCCCACATCACCTGCATTCAGTGCATGTGCAGCAACAGCTTTCCCATGGAGGCACATGGGCTCGCATAACCCTCCCCCCAGGACCATCTAGTTTCCTGTGGCCAAGCAATGGAGTTCCCACGCCTCTCCTGGGGATGCTTTCTCTAAAGCCTACATCTTCCTGTGAGCCCGTCGCGTCTGCATTGCGCATGCCCCCTGCACTCCCCCGAGCAAATATCTCTCCCGCCTCGCTCTCTCCTGCCTGTTTGCAGCCGGCCGTGCGCTCACTCAGCCATTGCCGAGCCAAGCCGTGCTGCATCAGCTCTTTCCACCTTCCCTCGGCAGTTGCTCCTGCCAGCCCTTTGCTCACTTCTGTCCATTGTTGCTGCTCTCAGGGGTCTCCCTCCTTCTGGGGGCGCAGTGTGAGGGGGGGCACGAGCTTTGAGAGGCAGAAGAAATGCTAATTGCAGTGCTGCTGGCCCAGTGCCAAAGCCATCTCTCTCGCGCCCTGCCCATGCTTTCTGCCAAGGAAGGCTGGGCCATGCCATCGCACACAGCCACCCCCAGGAGTCACCGCACAGCCCCTTGTAAGGACGTCCAGAGATGGCAGCCTTGCCAATGGGCATAGGAACCTGGGCCCAAAGGAACAAGCTGCCGGTACCCGCGGAACCTGGCTAGCTCCCTTCTGCAGCAAAAGCACCGGCCCTGAGCTAAAGGCACAAGCAGCAGGGCTGGGGCCTGATCTGAGCTGCTAGGACTGGATCCAAAGCCCCTCTCCAGCTACGTCTGCCACTGGGAACATCTGTCAGCTGCCAGGGAGAAGCATGGCCGGTGTCCATGGTGCCGTGTATTGTGTGCACACCAGATACTCCTCACCTAAGCAGTGCTAACCTGGAAACTCGCTGCTGAGACTCTGCCATGACCTCCCTCTGCCACGTAGGCTTGAACCCTGGCCCTTCAGCATCACAGCACTCACCTCCGAGGTGCAGGGACTACTCAGCAGTAGTAGGTTGTTATCCTAGCAGGTAGCATCATAGGTTATCTTTCTAGAAGGTAGCAGAAGTAGTTGGTTATCCTAATGAGTTGCAGTGTAAGTTGTTATCCTAGCAGGTAGCAGCAGTCAGTTGTTATCCTAGTGGGTAGCAGCAGTAAATTGTTATCCTAGCAGGTGGCAGCAGTGGGTTGTTACCCTTGTGGGAAGCAGCAGTAGTCTGTCTTTTTAACAGGTGTTAGTGGGTTACAACAAACTCTAGGCTGCCCCTTTGGGCTGACATACTCCCACACACATGCTGAGATACACACTAGGAGTTTAATCTGTGTTAGTTAATATGTCACCTACAACAGATTTAAAAACACCTTTATTCCAAAGATGTGGCCAGAGATATCCACAACCCCCCCCCACACACACAGAGCTCTGTGTATGCATGCACACA